TAGGGTTTAGGGTTTAGGGTTGGCCTGCCACCAACCTCAGAATCTCTGAATTCTTAACCCGAAACCGAGTTCGAGGGACCTTGGTCATTCAGAAGTTCCATGAGGTCTTCAAAGTCCCACTGGCTCACGTCCTGACCTGCCAGGTTTAGGCACTAGGGTTTAGGGTTTGGGGTTTAGGGTTTAGGGTTCAGGGTTTGGGGTTTAGGGTTTAGGAAGAGAGCCTTCCCCTGAGGGTTTAGGTTTTATAGGGCTTCGGGCCAAAGCGGGCAGCATATGAGCGTCCGGGAGGTCGCACGGGTGCAGGTTGGCTGTGTTTGGGGATTAGGGCTTAGGGTTTAGGGTTGGGGTTTAGGGTCTAGGGTTTAGGGTTTGGGGTTTAGGCCACCCATCCATCCACCCATCCATCCACCTATCCATCCACCCATCCATCCACCCATCCATCCACCCATCCATCCACCCATCCATCCACCCATCCACCCATCTTTCCACCCATCTTTCCATCCATCTTTCCATCCATCTTTCCTTCAATCCAGGTTTCCCACAAATTGGGGTGGGGGGGGGGGGGGGGGTATCCCGTAGTCAGAAGATATACTGTTTGGGTAATAGGAGGTGTCTCCGATTGGGAAAAGTACCCGACTTGGAGTTACCACGAAAGGCCGCTCTAAAAACGACGTACTTTGGTACCCAAAGCACTACCCCTAAGAGCCCAAACCCATGCTCTAAGGGGTTTTAGAGTAAGGCACACCTGACCCCAAACCCCAAACCCCAAACCTTAAACCCTACACCCCAAAACCCCAAACCCTAAACCCTAAACCCTAAACCCCAAACCCCAAACCCTAAACCCTAAACCCGGGATTAGGGAAGAGCTGCAGCTCTGAACCAAAGACTCTCCGTCCTCCTGCCATTTCAGCGCACACATTGTACATGTCAGATGGTGCTGCGGCGTGCTGCAAGCAGGCTCTACATCGCGCAGCACATAGACATTGGGTTCGGAGAAGGTAGATACATGGATACATCGAGATCAGAAGACACTAATCCCTGCTCTAGTTCAGGCGAGGGTTTATCACTCAGGTTTCTGGGCTGTGAAACTCGAGTTTGGGAGTCTCTCAGTTGTCCAATGGGGGATCTAAACCATGGTCGACTTCTGGTACCCTAATACGATAAGGGCCCCGAAAAGGGACCAGCGTTTAAACAGCCCCATATAGAGTAGGGTTCTCAGTACGAGGATCCCGGCAGGATATCCCACATACGGTACACACACACACACACACTCACCCATACCCTCCCCTTTTTGCCCCGCACCAAAGATAAGGTTTATAGGGTTTCCGGCTTCATATAAACCCTACGTCATATGGACAGCAAACGCAAGGTGACGTGGATCTACCCAATTCCAGTTGACAGCCTCCAGGCAAAGGATTGAAAGCCTTTAAGCACAGAAGCTGTTCATAGCCCTGGTAGCCCAGCAACCATTTTAAAATGCGGGTACCCTGTTTTTAGTTGGTTACTTTATAAGGGAACCTTGAACCGAAACAAGGGGAAACGGTACCGCTGGGCTACCAGGTAGCGGTCTGCGACCGCATGCAGGTATGTTCGCGGGCGAGAGGCCCGGTGGTGCCTCGCCAAAGCTTCGGCCACCCGAATCTAGGACAGCTAGGGTTTAGGGTTTAGGGTTTAATTAGGGTTTAGGGTTTAATTAGGGTTTAGGGTTTTGGGTTTAGGGTTTAGGGTTAGTTCTGACGGCTTGGGGTGTAGGGTTTAGGGTTCAAGGCCTCCTATCAGCCGTCCTCCGACGGTCCTTAGAGCCTAAGACGAAGCACTGAACAGCAGCGAACACGTTTATTATTGTGTCTCCATAGCGAAAAAACATCACCTAATTGTATACATCTTGATATTATGCTCATGGAGCAGTGCTGCCGTTCATTTGCTTGGCATTCCAAACCCTGAACCCTAAACTCTAAACCCTAAGCCCTAAACCCCAAAACCCTGCCCTAACCCAGACCTTTAACCTTGAACCCTTACCCCTAAGATTCTCCTCGATTTGCATCATCTAAGTGTTCGGCGACACACCCAGGCCTTCGCTCTCGTAGTCCTGCATTAAGCGGATTTTCCGCCCGGCATCCAGCAGCCACGACTGCTTCTATAGGCCAAAGAGAAACCTAGAACAAACAAAAGTTCCCTTTTTAGTTTAAAGGGGCTGGTAAGGGATGTTTTCTGGTCTGGCATTTCGGGTTTAGGGTTTAGGGTTTAGGGCTAGACCCAACAGTAACCCAGGCACAAAAAAAGTGTGACCTTTTTGGTTTAAAGGGGCTGGCTGATACGGGATCCTAGATCCTGAAAAAAGACGGAATAGGGGCCCACTCCGGTTTCTATGATAGCACATCATCACTGGGCCAAGGGTTTAGGGTTTAGGGTTTAGGGTTTAGGGTTTAGGGTTTATATGGGCTTATAAGGTCATCGTCATCATCACTACCTATATACCTTCACCTAGTTGGCTGAAGCGGTCGTGGTCAAAAAGGTCGTTGCAAGTATAGCTGCAAAAAACATATCTGCGGATGCGCATCTTGAATTCGAACGGGCTTCGCTCCGCTGACCAGCCAGGGGTCAAGCACCAGGATTGCCAACTTGCTACAGTCTTCGCAGCGTAAGACACTCAACTCAAAATCATTCAATTCCCTGACTGTCTATGTACCTATAGCGTGTATACTTGGGCCTGAAAAGGGGTTCCCATGTAGAAGCTCTTTAGGGCCCGGTGCATGGACCCTTCGGGACCCAAGGTGTCGGTGCCTGAACCCCGGCGGACAACACCGTCAGCTCTTTCAGAGCTAAGTTGGAGCCACGATGCCAACATTTCCCGCGGCAGAACGCCGACAAGTAGACCTGCAAATTTCCCCACCTGCTCATGCATGGGTACATGGCTTCAAGTCCTTCTCAACCCACCTGATGGCTCTGATGTACTTCCTTAGTTGGGATAGTTCTCGGAGATTCCAGTATAGTACCCCAACACAGGTACTAGATAGGAGCCATGAGGTACAATCGATATCCAAGAAATCAAGGGGCGCGTAATTAGGGCAAAGCAGCACCACTCATGACTCGCATTGGACCATGTGCTTCGGGTATGGAAAAAGGGCTGTGGGAATACATTTTCAGCCCTAGCACTAGAAACACACAACCTTATTTAGTCTTCCTAAACCCTCACGCCAAAGGAGGGGCAGCGACAGCTGGTGGCTGTTGTTGGGGCTGCTACGAGAGCGGCTGCCTCCATGTGCAGGCGGACAATTTTGCACGCCAACTTCAACGGCCCTTTGGTCCAAGTTTAGGGCTGAGGGTTTAGGGTTTAGGGTTAGGGTTTAGGGTTTAGGGTTTAGGGTTTAGGGTTTAGGGTTTAGGGTTTAGGGTTTAGGGTTTAGGGTTTAGGGTTTAGGGTTTAGGGTTTAGGGTTTAGCGTTCAGGGCTTGCACAGAGGGGCGCCTCTTATAGCTCAAGAGGAGTTCTGCGGGCCCTACCCGAAAGCTTATAGGTCATAAGTCGCCTTCTGATGGGCAGTATAGGTTCAAACCCAAAGCCTCAACCCTACACTCTAGGGTTCAGGGTTTAGCTGCAAGCTTAGCTTTCAGGGTTTGCCTAAACGCTCCTGCGTAGCGCTTGTTTGGTGTACCATGGGTCCATGTACCCTTTTGTGTATACTTGGGCCCTACATGGACCCTCCTCTAAAACCCTAACCCTGAACCCTAAAACCCCAAAACCCTTTAAGGCCCAAGTCTTTCCTCACAGGTAATGAACCCCCCACCACCACCTCCCCCCCCCCCCCCCCTCTCAAACCCTAAATCCCTTTACGGCCCAAGTCTATACCAATATGGGTACAAGAACCCTTTGCTTAGGGTAGTTGCATGGGCCTTTGATATGCCTACCCAGTACAAATCGGGACCATACTTCAGAACCCTTTAGAGGTTAGGGGCCCTATTAAGGGCCCATGAGACTACCCTACTATAGGGACCTGATTTTTTTAGAACAGGGTTTTTGGCGTTCTTTTAGAATATTTATCAAGGGGACCATAAGGGAAGACGATTAGTAATTAATCCGACCCATATAGTCTAAACCCTAAACCCTAAACCCTAAGGGGCGTAGGAACACCATCCGAGTTATATGCGACTTGGAATGCCAGGGCCATCATCGGGAACGTCTTTGGCGAGTCGACAGCCGAAGGCACTGCTTGGGCTTCCGGGGATCAGAGGCGGTGTTTTGTTTGGGGTTTAGTGTTTAGGGTTTAGGGTTTAGTGTTTAAGGTTTAGGTTTAGACCCATGAGTAACATATTAAGGAAAAGGGTGCCCTTCTTGGGTTAAAGGAAACCCTGAAAAAGGGAATAAGGGCCTACTCCGGGTCCTAGGGGGGTGTTGCTTTTTGTTAGGTTTCTAGGAAATGAAAAAACACATTTGTTTAAAACCTGAATATGTTGTCTTAACTTTGTGGTACCCTGTGAGTCTAGTAAAACATCATCCTTGCGTTTAACTAGAGGTAGGGTTTAGGGTTTAGGGTTTATAGGGTTTAGGGTTTAGGGGTTAGGGGTTAGGGTTTAGGGTTAAGGGTTGAGGATGGAAAGGTGAAGGCTTCCAAATCTGGAGGGATCTAGGCCTCGACAGTGCCTCACGTCTGCGATCGTCCCAAAATTTCGGGAGAGCACTAAAAAATTGCTTATCAGCTCAAGCACCGCACAGGTTTATTGGGGTTTAGGGTTTAGGGTTTAGGGTTTAGGGTCTTCCTTATCAGCTCAAGCACCGCAATTGTTTAGGGTTTAGGGTTTAGGATTTCCGGGTTGGCAATCTCTGCTCGAGGGTCTGATTCTGTGGAGGGAAGACCTGGTGACTCCAGCCTAGACCCCAAAGCCTAAGCATCCTGGACGGTGCCGGGTTGCTTGGGGCTGGTATCGGACGAGATTCGGATTCTGGTTGCAGGGAACCCTAAACCCTAAACCCTGAACCCCTAAACCTCAAAGCCCTAGTGTTCAGACACCAGGCCACGCGTACGACCCGAGTCGCTGGGCATTCCCCAGATGTCCGACAGGCATGAGAGCTCCTAGGTGTGCGAGGGTTTAGGGTTAAGCATAGGGCTTCGGCGTAGAGCATAGAGTAAACGCTGAAGCCTGATCCGTTTCGGGTGAGCCGGGGTTTGTAAGGCCAAACCATACCTAAACCCCAAACCCGATCTCCCCCTCAACCCTAGACCCTGAACCCTAGACCCTAAATCGCAAACCCTAAACCCTAAACCCTAAACCCTAAACCTTCTTCAAAAACAAATATAATAAATTAAAAAAAACTGAAGGTGTCATAGGCTCGGGCCCGCTGCAAGGCCACAGCGCCTGCACGCTGGGCTTGCATGACCTTGTGGGTTTAGGGTTTAGGGTTTAGGGTTTAGGGTTTAGGGTTTAGGGTTTAGGGTCGAAGGTTTCGGCTTTAGGGTTTCGGGTTTAGGGTTTCGAGTTTTGGGTTTGGGGTTGAGGGTTTCGGGTTCAGGGTTTCGGGTTTAGGGTTTCCGAGTTTGGGGTTTAGGGTTCAAGGTTCCGGGCTTCGGGTTTTGAGTTTCGGGTTTGGGGTTTAAGGTTTGGGCTTGGAATGTATAGGGCTTACAGGGTTTGGTTGTTGTGCTTTAAAAGGGCATAAGGTGTATTTTTTTGGGCGATAGGGATTCTTATTTAGGGTTTTTATTTCGGCGTTTATATGGGCTTGGATTTGACGCGCAGCTGCATGTTGCTTTAGGGTCTGGGGTGTGTAGGCTCTGCCTCCATATCTTGAAGCAAGGGGAACATTACCAATTATCCAGATGATTACTCACCCTGTGTGTTGTTTTGAGTGTTTTTTACAGGGTAACCCTACACCTAAACCCTAAACCCTAATAAGTTACCGGACTTCCGAACCAAACTGGGCTCTCGCCATATGTCCCGTAAAGTTCGTTCTACGACTCATATCCACAGTTAAGGGTTTAGGGTGTCAGGTTTAGGGTACCCTAAACCCTAAACTCTAAACTCTAAACCCTAAACCCTAAACCCTAAACCCTGAAGCCTAAAGCCTAGCTCTCTCGGGCCCTTTGCATTTGGTGGTGCTTTAAAGGGCTCTCCCACCTCGGTCCCATGCACACATTGATCTAACTGCCACTGCCTTTAGTCCTTGGTGCTACTTTCCATTACAGTGAACCCAAAAAAGTTGGAAACCTTTTTGAGGACAATAGTGCTGGGATTCCCTATACTTTACTCTTAGGGATTGAGGCTATTGAGTTTCCAACTTTTTGGCTTCTACTGTGTAGGGTCCATGCGCCCATAGAGTACGTATATACTTGGGCCCTAGAAAGCTACTATATAGGAACTATAGGAAGTATAGGAAGCCCTTTTTGAAAGCCAAGTCTATGCCATAATATAGGCACATGGACCCTCCCCTAAACCCGAGACCCTGAAAGCGGGCCCCGAAGACACCACCCAATAACTCAATTTAACCCTGTTTATCGGTACCCCCGCCCCCCCCCCGCCCCCACCTCCCCCAGCTAAACTCGAAAACCCAAACCGTGAACCCTAAACTTCCAGAAGCTCCCCCTGCCCCCACCCTAACCCAACACCTCAAACCCCAAACCCCAAACCCCAAACCCCAAACCCCAAACCCCAAACCCCAAACCCTAAACCCTAAACCCTAAACCCGAAACCCTAAACCCTAAACCCAAGTCCAAGCCCTAAACCCTAATCCCCATTCGACTACGAAGTCGCTCTCATCGACCGGCTCTTGTTCGGGCTGATCGGGCTGCAGTCGTTCGGGTCCAGCGACGATGCCGTCTCGTCCGCGACCTTGCCGCCCCCAAACCTTAAACCCTAAACCCTAAACCCCAAACCCCAAACCCTGAACCCTACTCTTGATTGGGGTCTTCGGGCTCAGCCGCAGTGCCCCGAAACCTTAAGCCCTAATCCTTAAGCCTAAACCCTAAACCTGGTCCTTAGACCCTATAAACCCATGTTGGGCTCCACTTTCGTTGCCCTAAACCCTAAACCCTAAACCCTAAACCCTAAACCCTAAACCCTAAACCCTAAACCCTAAACCCTAAACTCTAAACCCTAAACCCTAAACCCTAAAACCCCTAAAGCCCCTACATGCTAAACTGGCCTACTGCAGTCGAGACCCATGAAGGCTCTTGGATCAAGGCAGCGATTCCAACAACCGGTTCATGACAAGGTTTAGAGTTTAGGGCTTAGGGGATCAGGGGCTTTGGGCTTAGGGTATGCTTCTACACCCTCAGACTCTGAAGGTCAGGTCCTAAACCCTAAACCCTAAACCCCAAACCCCAAACCCTAAACCCTAAACCCCAAGAAGCAAGCTGCCTTGAAAGTCTCCAAGACCTGTGGCGACACAAACGGCTTGAGATCCGGGTTCTTGATGCGGGCCATTCGGAGTCCGCACCTGGGGGGTTTAGGGTTTAGGGTTTAGGGTTTAGGGTTTAGGGTTAGGGTTTAGGGTTAGGGTTTAGGTCTCAGGGTTTAGGGTTTCAGGTTTAGGGTTTGAGGGTTGAGGGCGTAGGGTTTGAGGGTTTAGGGTTTAGGGCTTAGGGTTTGAAGGTTTAGGGCTTAGGGGAGGTTTTGGTTGGAGGGCTGAGGGTCGAGGGTTGCAGGTTGAGGATGCAGGGTTTAACGAAGCCAAACATTGGGGATCACATGCCACATGCTCTTCGCACCGCTACGACGATTCCGGGTTTAAGGTGGTTGTAAGTAGAGCTGTAAGGGCCCGAAAATTGGGTTGTGAAGACTTAGACCCCAAACCCTAAACCCTAAACCCTACACCGTAAACCCGAAGGTTGGTATGTTAAGGGGGGCCGTGTACGGTGATCCCCATTCTACTTTTTGCTTACAGAACCCCTCTCGCCCTCAAAGAAGAAGAATACAAATCCCTGTTTTTTGTTTTTCCATTTTGTGTGGTTCTTTAGCAACTACTAGTAGTAAGGCAAAAAGCAACATAAACCTGTGGGTCTAAATCAGTAACCTACGAGAACAGAAAGGTGTGGCCATTGTTCTTTCAGAAAGGAACCTAACACCCTGCAAAAAAGGGGGAATGAGGGTATTACTAGCCCTAAACCCTAAACCCTAAACCCTAAACCCTAAACCCTAAACCCTAAACCCTAAACCCTAAACCCTAAACCCTAAGGGAAGCAGGTTCGCCCCCAAGGCACCACTTCTTCATGTTCGCCTGCAGGCCCTGCACCACCGCACGGACGATGACGACCGGTTGAGATCCGGGCTCCCCGAGTATCTTCTTCTTATGCCATGCCTGAGTTCAGGGGTCAGGGTTCAGGGTTTAGGGTTTAGGGTTTTAGGGTTTTTGTGGTGTAGGTTTTTGGGGGTTTAGGGGTGTAGGGGTTTAGGGTTTAGGGGTTTAGGGGTTTAGGGGTGTAGGGTTTTAGGGGTTTACGAGTTAGGGGTTTCGGGGTTTAGGGGTTTAGGGGTTTAGGTGTTTAGGGGTCTATGGGTTAGGGGTTTAGGGGTTTAGGGGTTTTGGGTTTAGGGGTTTAGGGGTTTAGCGTTTAGGGCTTCAGCTTTAGGTTCTAGGGGTGAGGATTCCGGGTTCTGGGCATAGTATCGGGTATCGGGCTTGTAGGGTATAGTATAAGGTGCAGGATTTATAGGGTTCAGGGCATAGGGCGTTGGGCTTTGGCGCCTTTGATCCCAATTTAAGGTTCATGCAATTGTGATGCTGATGGTTTTCTTGAACAATGACTACTACTTGCTTACGAACCCACGAATGCCATAACCCCTATATTGCTCTTACAAGGAGGAGAATTTCTGACTTTGTCGATGAACATAGTTGGTATTGCATGTAACTGTTGGTGATGAAGAACCATATACTACAAGCCCTCATCCTAAACCCTAGACCCTAAACCCTAAACCCTAAACCCGAAAAGCCCAAACCCTAAACCCTTGCCCCCAGAGTGCATTCTGGAACAGCTTGGCTGTCTCGGCAGTCAGGAAGTTCACCTGAACTGCTCTGGGAGCCCTTGGAAAGCACCCTGAACCCTGAACCCTGAACCCTGAACCCTGAACGCTAAACCAGAAACCCTAAACCCTAAACCCCAAACCCCAAAACCTCAGCCACCAAACCGTAAGAACGAAGAGTCACGAAGGCGTAGCCTTGATTTGCCACATGTTGGAAGTTCCGCGGCATGTGGCCTTGGGTTTAGGGTTTAGGGTTTAGGGTTTAGGGTTTAGGGTTTAGGGTTTAGGGTTTAGGGTTTAGGGTTGAGGGTTGAGGGTTTAAGGCTTCGGGTTTCGGGTTTGGGGTTGAGTGTTTAGAATTAGGGGCTTAGGGGGTAGGGGCTTTCAAGGATTTAGGCATTTGAAGTACCTGCTATCCCCTGCTGCACATCGGCAGCTCATGCCCATTTCCCTGTAACCCTAACCCTAAAACCTAAACCCTAAACCCTAAGCCCTAAACCCTAAGGGAAAAAAGTGCCACTGGTGTGGCCCTAGCAGCAGAAGTCATACAGGTCAAGGAAGCCAGACTGGTCGAGCTCCTTGAGCAGCTGGCGCTGCGTCATGCACTCCGGCACTCCTCCTTACCAGCTGGTTCTTCTATATATATATATATATCGACATATGTATAAGGGTTTAAGGTTTAGGGTTTAGGGTTTCAAAGGGACTGGGGTTCAGAGTAGCCTAGTTGTCCAGTAACCGGGGGCGAGGGGGGGCTGGATTTTAAGGTTGCCCTTTGGGAGTTTAGAGGGATTTGAATACCCCAAAAAGGTTAAACGTTACCCACTCTACTACTAAGTTAAGGACCAAGTGAACGCTGAAATTGGGAACGCGGAATTTCCCTAAGTCATGTAGACCCTAGTTAAACTTTAGACCCCACGATTCAAGTCTCTAGTCGGGTACATAGAGCATCTTAGAGCAACTTGCGCTAGAGTCGTATCAAGAGACCCTGAAATAATAGTATTGAAAAATGATGATTCTAGGCTCGTGTATGAGGTTTAGGGTTTAGGCTTTAGGGTTTAGGGTTGAGGGTTTAGGGAATCCCTTGTAGGGCAATTATGTGCCCCCAAGGCTCTGATCATCATCGTGGTGATCTCATCGGTTGGGCGGCTGGATGTCGGGGATGCCATGCTGCTGTGGCTCTCGCTGTCTGAGAAGATGCTGTGCTCCACTCCTTATAGCTGTCCAGTAGGGGGAATTGAAGGTTAGCCCTTTGGGGTTTCATAGGGATATAGAATACTTCACCCCCAAAAAAGGTAGAAGATTACCTACTCTGCTACTAAGACTCCCTCCTGCGCGAAGAAGTGCGGAGACCCACTGGGACTCCCTGCGGCTCGTCCGACCTCCATCGGAGACATAGCCGGTGTTGTGGAGAGGAGGTCAAACTTCGTAGAGGCGGAGCTCTTGCCGATGGTGCTGAGCAATCTCGGGATCTCCGGGGAGTTCCACACCGGCGGAGCCGGAACAGCACCTAGACCCAGGAGATCCCTAGGAATAAGAAGGGTGCCCCTTTTTGGGGTTCTAAGGGGATTAGAAGGGAACCCCAACGCAAAAAAAGGAAAACCTAAACCCTAAACCCTAAAACCCTAAACCCTAAACCCTAAACCTTAAACCCTAAACCCCTACTCCGGGTCCTAGGCACTTTCGAGGCTCAAGTTGACTTTCACGGGCCCATTGTCCGGACTCTCGCCCAAGGGCTCATCCATGGCGGTTTCCTCTCATGGCTGGGGTTTAGGGTTTCGGGTTTCGGGTTTAGGGTGTAGGGTTTAGGGGGAAACCCTCTGAAAACATTCCTGAAGGTCCTCTAAACAACCCAATAAGGGAAAAGAGAAAATGTCCCAAAAAGGCCTACCTAGTTGCCCTAAACCCTAAACCCTAAACCCTAAACCCTAAACCCTAAACCCGAAACCCTAAACCCTAAACCCTAAACCCTAAACCCTAGCCGAGTTTCGGTCGCCATCGGGGCCAGCGTGACAAGCAGCGGAAGGCCTTGCCAGGTCTCCGTCTCCACAGGCGCCATGAGGGTGACGGATGGCGCCACGCCGCGATCCCAATCCTGGGCTTAGCTACGCAAAGAGCCTAAACCCTAAACCCTAAACCCTAAGCCCAATACCCCTCATTAAGGAGTGCACCTTAAAGGATAGTATGGATCCTAATGTAGGGTATATTCATTAATTTAGGGGTACAAAAGGGCTCTTTGGTTACCAGTTACCAAAATATGGGTATACAGAATATGTAAGTCACACGGGTACATGGGCTTCTCGAATGTGTAATTCCAAAAAAGCATGGTATCTTGTTATTCATTTATTTTTTTGGGGGGGGGCTAGTTTACCTACAAGAAATGTTCCCCCTTATGCTAACAGTCCTTAACAGGGATTCTAATAGGGGGTACTAATCCTTATTAAGGACTGTTAGTATAAGGGTGGGGGGCCAACATCCTAAAGTTGACCTTTAAAGCTTAAGAATCTTAGGCTCAAAATAGCCCAACAACCTTCAATGATAAGGCGTCTGGGCCCAAAATCCGTAAACAAGGAGTCCTTAGAGCCTTAGGCTAACAGCAACACAGGCACCTTATGATTATGTACTTGAGCTCCAAAGTCCCCGCAGGAGGTACTTTAAGGAGTATTCCCCATTTAGGTACATGGACCCTTAGGGTAAGCATCTGTACCCTTTAGCCTCAAAACAGCCCGCAAACCTTAAATAACAATGCTTCTGGGCCCAAAAACCTTTCAAAAGGAGCCCTTAGAGCCTTGGGGTAACAGCAACCCAGGTTCCTTATTATTATGTACTTGGGCTCCAAAGTCCCCACACATGAGGTACTTCAAGGCACATGGACCCTTTGGGTTTAGGGTTTAGGGTTTAGGGTTTGGGGTTTAGGGTTTAGGGCTTAAGGTTGAGGCGGTTTAGGGTTTAGGCGGTTTAGGGCTTAGGGTTTAGGGTTTAGGGTTAAGGGTTTAGGAGAACAGCAACCCAGGCTCTTCATCATCGGTGTCGGGCCATGTCGGCGGGTCAGCATCGGCACGGTCGGGCCCAGGATTCCCAAGGACGAACTCGGGATCCACCTCGGCCTCGGACTCGGCTGGGTCCTGAAGAGCCCTAAACCCTAAACCCTAAACCCTAAACCCTAAACCCTAAACCCTAAACCCTAAACCCTAAACCCTAAACCCTAAACCCTAAACCCTAGCCCTAAACCCTAAACCCTAAACCCTAAACCCTAAACCCGAAACCCTAAACCCTAAACCCTAAACCTCTGACTTCGGGTCCTCTGGGTTCGAGTCAAGCTCAAAGGTGGCCTCGCTGCGCCCGAAGGGCGTGTAGCCCGAGAAACTGCTGGAACGGCGCAGGGTCCTCTCCCAAAGGGTTTAGGGTTTAGGGCTAGGGTTTAGGGTTTAGGGTTTAGGGTTTAGGGTTTAGGGGGTTTAGGGGGTTTAGGAGGTTTAGGAGGTTTAGGAGGTTTAGGAGGTTTAGGAGGTTTAGGAGGTTTAGAGTTTAGGGCTTAGGGTTCTGGACCGGCGGAGGGTCCTCTCCTAAAGGGTCCACGGTCCCTACGTTTTGGATATACTTGGGCCTTAAAGGGGGGTTTAGGGTTTAGGGTTTAGGGTTTAGGGTTTAGGGTTTAGCGTTTAGGGTTGAGGGTTTAGGGGGTTCCCATTTAGTAGCTTTAGTTCCCACGTAGATCGTACTGTACATGGGTACATGGACCCTTAAGGCCCCTAAACCCTAAACCCTTCCCTGAACCCTAGCCCTAAACCCTAGCCCTAAACCCTAATCCTCTGTGTCCTGTGCGACTCAGGGGACTTGTCGTCGAGCGTGACGAAGACCCGCGGCAAAGGTGGAAGGCGCGGTTCTGTGAAAGCCATGCCTTAAGGACCAAATGGGCCCAAAAATTGGGTTTAGGGTTTAGGGTTTAGGGTTTAGGGTTTAGGGTTTAGGGTTTAGGGTTTAGGGTTTAGGGTTTAGGGTTATGGGGTCATATTCCCTTACTACTATAATTCCCATTAAGGTATATGAGCCCTAAACCCTGTTAGGGTTTATTTCGACCCCAAGGTGCCGGTCGAGAGCTCCACCGGCCTTTGCGCGCCCGTCGCCGTGTCCGCGTCGCTCTTGGGCTTGGGCTGTGGAAAGACACGGTGAACCCTCTACGAATCGAAGACAACCCACATGCTGCAGTCTGCTGATAAGGTTCTAGATTTGCTTTATTGCCCCTGTATATGCCCTAGCAGCGGACGTCTGTCGCGGGATTGAGCCTGACAAGTCTCGGTGGTTTATGGTTTTAGAGCTTGGGGTGTAGGGTTTAGAGTTTAGGGGCTAGCGGTTACGGTTCAGGGTTTAGGGTTGAGGGTTTACACAAGCCCTAGACCCTAAACCACCACCATCCTACATGACATAAATGTCTCTGCGTGTGTGTGTTATCCCTCCGTCTGCAACCCTAAACTCTCCTCACCCTCCCCCAACTCAACCCTCAATGCTAGCCAAAGCCAGCATAAACCAAAACTCAACCCCCAACCCTGACAGAAATAAACCTAAAACCCTTTAAAAGCCGTGAACACCTGAAAACTTTAACACCCCAAAAGCCCTAAAAACCCTAAAGCCCTAAACCCCAAAATCCCTGAAACCCTAAAAGCCCTAAAACTCTAAAGACCCTGATTCCCCAAAAAACCGCAAAACCGTAAAACCTAAACCTTAAACCCTGAACCCTAAACCCTAAAGCCCTAAAGCCCTAAAGCCCTAAAGCCCTAAAGCCCGTCTTAACCCTTAACCCGAAAACTCTGAACTCCCTAAACCCCCAAACCGCTAAACCCCAAAACCCGCAATCTCCCCTTAGCCCTATAGAAAGCCCTATAGAAAGCCCTTAAACCCTAAAAACCCTTAGTCTCCCCAAACCCCTAAACCCTAAACCCCACTAATCCCGAAACCATAAACCCAAAACCCTAAACCCTAAGCCCTAAACCCTAAACCCTAAACCCTAAGCCCTATAGAACCCTAAGCCTCATCAACCCGTGGGCTGGACCTCCCACGGACTTCAAGACCATTCCCACCCTGCCACAGTTGGGGGGGATGGGGGGGGGGGGGGGGGTTGATCTCACTTGATGAGGGGTAGGGTTTAGGGTTTAGGGTTTAGGGTTTAGGCTTTAGGGTTTAGGGTTTAGGGTTTAGGGTTTAGGGTTTAGGGCTTAGGGTTTAGGGTTTCGGGTTTGAGGTTTAGGGAACAGCAGGATGATGGTTTTCCTTGCCTAAAAGTGCTTCTTGTCCATAGGCCTGATCTGTAATAGGCCTTACGGCAGCATAGGGTTGAGCCAAGGAGTTTGGGCATTCGGGCTTCGGGAACCTTAAGCCCTAAGCCGAAACCCCCTATATATACCATAAACCTCGAACCCTAATCCCTAAACGCTATAAACCCGAATTAGACCCTGAATCCAAAACCATTTGCTTTGTTGATGGAAGCTCCACGGCTCCACAGGGAGCTCTTTATCGCAAAACCCCGAAGCCCCAAATCCTGAAAGTAAGACTGAAATGCCAAGCCCTAAAAGTAAGGGGCAAAAACTTAGAGGGTCCACTTAATAGAAGTACCAGCATGACGGTCGGCTTCCCAAAAACCACAGACCTGCAGGAGGGGTGTTCGTCAAATCCTTTAGAGTGGAAGCGGATACTCTGTCTACAACCCTAAACCCTCGAGTCCCTCTCATCCCTCCAATCCCTCTGAACCCTACAAACCCTCCAAACCCTAGAAACCCTACAAATCCTATAGACGCATGATCCTACAAGCCCAATCAACCATGCGGTTTAGGGTTTAGGGTTTAGGGTTTAGGGTTTAGGGTATATATATATATATAGATAGCCTACAAACCCCACAGGATGCGCAGATCTCTTGCGCTTCAGGGTTGCATCGGGTTTCGGGTTTAGGGTTTATGTAGGGTTTAGGGTTTAGGGTTTAGGGTTAGGGTTTAGGGTTTAGGGTTTAGGGTTCAGGGGCTGCAGGGGATTTCAGAGCTTCGGCCCATGGTTGTGTGGCCCTTATAAGGGAGGGTTCAGGGTTCAGGGTTTCAAGCTGACACGTAACGCTATACCCGGTGCTCCTTACTAATTCTTTATCAAATTTATCAATACAACTATGTATAGTTATATCATATGAAAATATTATTGTTTAGAAAACCATGCTTCTATATCCATGTCTAAACTTAGGCTCCCTATGCTTGCCTCAATTTAAGGTGTAGGCAGGGTTCCCTGCGTACTTTCCTTGCTCGGACCTCCCGTAAACAACCAGGATGGCCCTTGACACCCTCAAAAACATACTCCTAAAAACTATCCTCTTAAGCCCAATTTGGAAAAGCGAAAACTGTCCCCAGGGCTGACCTAGTTCCTTGCTGAGACCTCCCGTACAAAAAGGGCTCTTGTCAGTAAACCCCCCCTCCTGGCGCCGCCCACTGCTGCTTGACCCATGGCGTCGCCAGGGTAGCGTGACTTCTCCTGCACACACCCGCAGAGCCCATGATACCCCGGAATCAATTATAAGGAATGGACCTTAAAGGAGAATGGGATCCTATAGTATGACTTAAGGGATATTCCTTGACTGAGGGGTATTGGGCTCTCTGGGCACATTGCAGCACGTCATGGGCATGCCCTACGCCTCAAGCCCCGCTCGAAGCTCGAGACGAGCCCCCTACCAAACCCAAACCTCCGTGGGCACACGAGAAGCGCAACCACAGGGTTTACGTTGATTTTGGGGGTTTAGGGCTTCGACGAGGAGCGCGCAACGATACGTAATGCTGAGAGTAGGGTTAAGGGTTTACGTTTTCAATTCTTGGTTAAGGGTTTCGGCTAGGATCCTGTGTATGTGCCTAATCCCTAAACCCTACACCCGACGCCAACACCCATGTAGACACTGGGGATGAGTGTGGGTTTGGGGTTGAGGGTTTGGAGGTTGGGAGCTTAGGGTTTACGGACTTATTTCTTGTAGTTGTTCGGGGTGTTTGGGATATATGGGGCGTCGGGCTTCCCTAAACCCCAAAGCTTGAACCCTAACCCTTGCTAACGCCTGATTTCCTACAGACCCTAACAATCCCAAACCCTGTACTTTCCGGTCCTTGGGCAGCCACTTGGTAACTTTGTGAATAATTTAGGGTCCCTTAAATTCAAGGGTTTAGGGTTTGGGTTTAGGTTGTTAGGGAAGGTACCGAATTTCCAAATCCCTTGCCAAGAATTAAGTTAACGAACTTCACTGTGCCACACCGCCTGCATGTCGATGATCATGGCACCCTTTCCTTGGTAGCCTGGAGTGTACCTGCCAATATTCTTGAATGGAAGGGAGGTCTAACTTGGGATGTTCCCCCTTATGCACACAGTCCTGAATAGGGATCAAGGTACCCGCCAGGGCCAGGGCTTGTTTGGGGTGTGCTTTGGTTTAAGGGCTTCCTAAATCCTAAACCCTGATCCCACGGACCCGCTCGAACTATAAACGCCCCAGCCCAAATAAGACCGAAAATCACAACTTCATCGAGCCTTCTTTGGGCCTTTTGCTGGGTACGGCGTAGGTCCTAAACTGCAAAACCTGTACCCGAAATCAAAAAACCTAACCCCTAAACCTTCCCCTAAACCCTCATCCCCTAAACCCCTGGTGGCAGCATCGGATCCAAAAATCACAGAAGGCCAAAGGCGGAAAGAGCGAGGCTGGACCTAGACAAACCCCATAAGCCCTGTAAACCCCATAAACCCTGTAAACCCCATAAACCCTGTAAACCGATAAACCCTGTAAACCCCATAAACCCTGTAAACCCTATAAACCCTATCAACCTATCAACCACAGTCAACCCTAAAGTCCCCTAAAAACCGAATAAGCCCCCTAAGCCCCCTAAACCCTCAACCCTCAACCCCTAAACCCTGAACCCTAAACCTGTGCCTAGACGCCTGGCCTCTTCACCCCAAAAGGCCGCTTCTTGAACCTCACTGAGCCAACGCTTCTGGTTCGGGGGTTTAGGGTTTAGGCTTTAGGGTTTTTAGGTTGCTGTTATTTTCGTTGCTGTGTTTGTCTTTTTTGTTGGGGGGAGGGACTTTTGTTTCTTCATGCAGGGTTTTAAGGTTTTAGGGTTTGGGCTTGTTTAGGGTTCATGGTTTCAGGGCTGCAGGTGGCATAGGGTGTAGGGTTTAGGGTTTAGGATTTAGGGCTTAGGGTTTAGGGTTTAGGGTTTAGGATTTAGGGTTTAGGGTTTAGGGTTTGGGGCTGACAGTAGTGTGTAGGTGGTGTAGGGTTTCAGGGGCGTTGGGTGTAGGGCTTTATGGGTGCAATCCTCATCCCCGCAACCTAACCCTAAGCCCAATCTCCATACTGAACCCAGCGACTACAGTATCCTTCAGTACAGTTTCAGCTAGACTGTAATATACTAAGCACCCCCCAATATAATTAAGGGACACGCATTAGAAATTCATTAGGGATCCGAAGTACACTTTAGGTTGCATCCCTTAAGTAAGCCTACAAATTTAAGGAAAATTCTACAATATAGATTACATAGGGATCCCTAGTATGGCTTAATTCATATTCCTTCCTAAGGCTCCTTTTTGAATGATCAAGGAATATACCTGAAGTTGCATAGGGACCCTTCGTCCAGGTTAAGATGTATTCCTTCACAGAGGATCCCTATGGCTGTGTACGAAAATAGTGGAACCCTAAATAGACCTGGAGCAAGATCTCACCATCCTGACCTTGGAGTCGCACACATGCTCCTGGGTTTAGGGTTTAGGGTTTAGGGTTTAGGGTTTAGGGTTTAGGGTTTAGGGTTTAGGGTTTAGGGTTTAGGGCTGCATGCTCTGCAGCGAAGCCCAGCACGTTCTCCAAGACTGCGCAAGGCGGCTGACAGACCGAGATGGTTCGCAAGGGCTCCTCAAAGAGCCTGGCCTATTGAGTCGAGACCAGGTTTGCAACCCTAAACCCTAAACCCTAAACCCGAAACCCTAAACCCTAAACCTTCCCTCAGGCCGCAGAGGCGTCCGAGGCGAAGGCCAAGTCACGCTTCACATTCATGGCCTTCAACGAAGTGCCTGCCGCCTCCAGGCCAGCGCAATGAGACCCCAAACGCAGCGGCCTTCAGGGTTTAGGGTTTAGGGCTTAGGGTTTAGGATCCCCTTACAATGAGGACCCCAATAGGGTACCCCCCCCCCCGTGTGCAGCTTAAATAGGGTCTATTTGGAAGCTGAGACTCGTGTTTTAAAGAGGAAATAAGGCCCCAAAACGTATACTTATTTACAAGAGACAACTTCCAAATAGACCCTATTATCGTTTCTGGGGGGTCTGGGGCAAGGAATTAAATAATTTAAATAATTTAAATCCGAAAGGGGCGTTCCGGATTTAAATTATTTAAATTATTTAATTCTGGGAGGGGGAGGGGGCCTGGGCCTGGCCCCCCCCCCCTTTTCGGATTTAAATTATTTAAATTATTTAAATTATTTAAATTATTAAATTATTTAAATTATTTAAATTATTTAATTCCGGGGGGGGGGGAATTAAATAATTTAAATAATTTAAATCCGAACCCCCCCTTTCAGATTTAAATTATTTAAATTATTTAATTCCCCCCCCGGAATTAAATAATTAAATAATTTAAATAATTTTAAATAATTTAAATAATTTAAATAATTTAATTTAAATAATTTAAATAAATTAAATCCGAAAAGGGGGGGGGCCAGGCCCAGGCCCCCCCCCCCTCCCAGAATTAAATAATTTAAATAATTTAAATCCGAAAGGGGCGTTTCGGATTTAAATTATTTAAATTATTTAATTCTGGGAGGGGGGGGGGCCTCGGGCCTGGCCCCCCCCCCCCTTTTCGGATTTAAATTATTTAAATTATTTAATTATTTAATTATTTAAATTATTTAATTCCCGGGGGGGGGAATTAAATAATTTAAATAATTTAAATCCGAACCCCCCCTTTCAGATTTAAATTATTTAAATTATTTAATTCCCCCCCCGGAATTAAATAATTTAAATAATTTAAATAATTTAAATAATTTAAATAATTTAAATAAATTAAATCCGAAAAGGGGGGGGGGGCAGGCCCAGGCCCCCTCCCCCTCCCAGAATTAAATAATTTAAATAATTTAAATCCGAAAGGGGCGTTCCGGATTTAAATTATTTAAATTATTTAATTCTGGGAGGGGGAGGGGGCCTGGGCCTGGCCCCCCCCCCTTTTCGGTTTAAATTATTTAAATTATTTAAATTATTTAAATTATTTAAATTATTTAATTATTTAAATTATTTAAATTATTTAATTCCAGGGGGGGAATTAAATAATTTAAATAATTTAAATCTGAAAGGGGGGGTTCGGATTTAAATTATTTAAATTATTTAATTCTCCCCCCCGGAATTAAATAATTTAAATAATTTAAATAATTTAAATAATTTAAATAATTTAAACCCGAAAAGGGGGGGGGGGCCAGGCCCGACCAGGCCCCCCCCCTTCCCAGAATTAAATAATTTAAATAATTTAAATCCGAAACGCCCCTTTCGGATTTAAATTATTTAAATTATTTAATTCTGGGAAGGGGGGGGGGGCCCGGGCCTGGCCCCCCCCTTTTCGGATTTAATTTATTTAAATTATTTAAATTATTTAAATTATTTAAATTAGGTAAATTATTTAATTCGGGGATGTAATTAAATAATTAAAATAATTTAAATCCGAACCCCCTTTCAGATTTTAATTCTTTAAATTATTTAAAATTACCCCCCCGGAATTAAATAAATTTTACAGAATTTAAATATAGGTTTAAGTAGATTTAAATAAATTAAATCCGAAAGGGGGGGGGGGGGGCCAGGCCCAGGCCCCCTCCCCCTCCCAGAATTAAATAATTTAAATAATTTAAATCCGACAGGGGCGTTCCGTATTTAAATTATTTAAATTATTTAAATTATTTAATTCTGGGAGGGGAAGGGGGCCTGGGCCTGGCCCCCCCCCCTTTTCGGATTCAAATTATTTAAATTATTTAAAATATCTAAATTATTTAAATTATTTAA